TGTCTCCTGTAGGTTAGTTCTACAAATTTTTTCCAGGAATAATTCAACACTGGATTCTAATAATTTACACAAATGTAGGGCTGCATGTCATGTGTCCACTCCTTTTTTGTGGGTCTTAACACTAGTGTAAATGCTCTGTGTTCAAGCCTAGAATTTATTTAAAACTAGAAAGCATTAAAACATTCTTTCTTTACTCATTGGTTTGCTGCTGTTGTTTCCCAGCCCTGTAATTCCCTAGCATATCCAGGCCTATCCTAGCATATCCAGTTAACAAAGGCAGAGTGTGGCGTCTTTAGTGGTCGTGACAGGTACCATACCGTCCTCCCCCCTCAACTCGCCTGCCATGACTTGATGTTATTGGGTGAAAGGAGGGGTTCAGTGATGTTCCTCTTGGAGGGGGACCTGGTGATGGAAGTACTTACAGTTGCTTCGCGATGTTCCTCGGGGCTCCGCCTCCCCTACACCCTGTCAACTTGCCAACTGCTTGAGTGTGGGTCTTGCTGTTCTGCCATTCACTGTAAGCCCCTTTACTAAGGGGTTCGGTGTCAAATTCAGCACCAATCGGTTGCCTGGATGTTAAGGTATCCGGTGCCCCAGACCCTTGTGCCAGAGGGCTGGGCTCGTGTTATCCTCTCTCTCTCTCTCTCTCTCTCTCTCTCTCTCTCTCTCTCTCTCTCTCTCTCTCTCTCTCTCTCTCTCTCTCTCTCTTTCTCTCTTTCTCTCTTTCTCTCTCTCTTTCTCTCTCTCTTTCTCTCTCTCTCTCTCGTGATCTCAGAGACAGAGAGATGCTCCTATAATCTCTGAAACTCAGGCAGCCAGGGACCGATCCTCCCCAGCCTAGTGCAGGGACGCTGCTTCCCCTGCTCCAGGTGCAGGTGCAGCACCTGCAGCAACACTTCTGCCAGCCACCAGAGTCATTGCCTGCCCGACGTGCTCACTGCTGGCCTTCTTCCTCACTCCTCTCCCCCCTGCCGGCTTCTGGCAGGGTTTTTAACTATTCATGCGGCGGAGTCTCCTGCCGCCACCATTGGCCTGGCGCTCCCCTGCCCTGGGAGCAGCTGTTTGAAAAGCCAGCAACACGCCAGCTCACGCAGCTGTGGTGCCGGTTCCTGCTCCAGCCACGCACCTGAAGGCAAGTTCTCCCGGGCATGGGGGGTCTGATTATCCCGCGCTGGGGCTCGGAGTTTCCCCCAGCCCCCAAGGAGCCTGTGGGGGCTTCTCACCACCACACAGAGTATCTCCAACATTATGCAAAAACTTAACCATGATCCATTTCAGTGTTACATTTGCTGTTCACTACACTGGATCGTATGTTTATAACTTTAACCAGGGAAATGGCTGACTATTTATAAAAATGTTCATATTGTTTGCATGTAATTTATGAATGTGATCTTCTGAAAAAAGCAGGAGGTAAAAGAAAAGGATAGTTTTGCTGTTAGTAGTAATGACTGATAATATTTTCCTTTTAAATTTTCAACGCACATCTGTTCATCAAGAGCACTCTGTGAGAGAACTAGAAGAGAGCAGGATATTTCTCAATCTATATCAGAAGCAAAAACTGCTTCTTGTTTTCTTAGTATTAATTCTCTTTATCCCATTCCTGCAATAACAGCAGCAGGATCTATTATATCGTAAGAACACTGCTCATCTATGAACTATCTGTGACATTAGTGTGCAGCGCCACATTTGGGATTACATTTGTGTACCCGCCTCCGTTCGACCAGGAGTTCACGCGCCGCCTTCGCCCGGTCCCAAGATCTCGCGCACCCGGACTTTGCTAGTACGCCCCGGAGTTTACCCCGTCTGGTATCAAGGAGGACCCCAGAACTCGCCTGCTACGTCTTTGATGACGCCTTCAGTGGGGGGGTCTTCTCTTGGGGTATCCCCTGGTGCCAACGTGCTCCTTCGCGGCTGGGGGCTCCGTCCTCCCCGACACCCCGGCCATTCGCCACCTTAGGGTCTTCCTATTCTGGCCTCCCACCCGTCCTTGCCTTGTCCTCTCTCGCCTCAGTCCACTTGGCCGTCAACAGCGGTCTTCAGACCGGGTATGCCCCCCAGTAGGGACGCTGACTTGGTCCCTCCTTCCCTGGGATGCGGCTGGCCTCTCTGCTACTCCAATAGCCCACACCGCGGTTACCCTCGCCGTCGGCTCTGTGGTGCGGGGTGCAGTCGGCCCCTCTCTCGGCGCTGCTGCCGGCCCTCCTGCTGCCTCGGCTGCCCGTGCCGCCCCACCTGCTGCCTCGGCTGCCAGGTTCCCCGCTGGCTGTTCCTCCACTTAAGGAGCTGACTCCTCCCCTCCTTGTGCTGTTCCCAGCTGCTCCACCACACTGCTCGCAGCCATCTTCGCCTCCTCCCTGTGCTGTCCCGCACTCTGCGGGTGGCGGCTGATCCCTCGCTCGCTGGGGCTCCGTGCTCCAGCTCTCTCCTCTCAGCCACCCTGTTGCCTCGGCAGGGCCGCCTTTTGTTTCTCCCGGCAGGCGTGCCCCGCCCCCGCCGCTCAGCCGCAGCCGGATAAACGCCCAGCTGACGCCCCGCACCGGCACAGCCGGTGCGTGGACTCCCTTCGGCTCCTCCGGCCCTGTGGGAGGTAAGCGGACCCCTTTGCCGCCGCGGGGGTCTCCCGGCGCCCCCGCTCCCCTGGGACAATTTGTAAAAGCCAGGATTGAGTTGCACAACAGGTTACATTTACTGTAAAATGTGCCTCATCAAATCAGTTGGAACACTGCAGCTGGAATGAGAGATGTTCATTGTCTAAATCTAGATCAAATATTTGTGTTAATAATTAATAGTCTACTGTTGCAAAATGATAACATAACTGTGTTTTAAAAGAAATGGGCAAGAGGGTATTCACTATCACAATTAAGTAACATGTTTCTGTTACACTGTTAGTATCAATAAACAACTATTACTGAAACATCGTGGATCATAACAGCATCTGAAAATTAAAAATGACTGTCAGAAAAGGTTTCCAGAAACCATGCATGCTGTTTGTGAATGTATGGAGAAACCATTGACCTAGATTCATAGCTATAATCAGTTAAATAAAATATTGGCAGCTAGAGAATAATAAATCTTGCTATCCCATCCTAAAGAAAAGGTCTTTTCTTTTACTGCACGTTTTATGTCATGTTATTGATCAAAGTAAGATGGGCTCTCAGATGAGCAGAAAGAAAAGGCATACACATTGGCATTGATATGAGAAGAAGCAGCCAAGTAATTGCATCCTCTTTCTCTACCGGCATGCTGGGTTTGCCTTCAGCCTGAGGGAGTCTCTAACACAGTATCTTATCATGGCATCAACATTTCTGTTATCACTTTCAACATAAAATAGAACCACACTTAGCAAATTGCATTAAAATAAATGGTTGTGCTCCAAGTCATGTATTACTGAAAATTGCATTTCAGGCAACGATAAAAAATATAAACAAGTCCCCCAGTGATTCCAGAAGCAGTCATATTAACTGCTGGCTATTGCAGTCATAGTAGTACAGTAGAGTCAGTTATCCAAATACCGGTTATTTGGGCTGTTCAGTTATCCAAATGCAGGACCTGCTGCCAACCTGCACAGTATGCAGTATAAGTGAGATCAATGGTGACTGAAGAAAAGAGAATTGTTTTAAAGGCTGAGAAAAAAAAATCGAAATAATCAAACTGAGAAAACATTGATGTATATATAAAGGTTGATGCATCATCTATGTTTGCATGTAACATAACATGTTTTATACAGTATGTAGATGAGTTAATTTTACGTGTTCCATAACCAAGCAATTTGAATATGAATTTTGTTTGCAATTACTTCACATAATTGATTCCCTACTATAATAGAGTGAAGAGTAGTATGAAAATTAGTGCTAGCAGAGATTAATAATAAATTCATAGAAATCAAAGTTGTCCTTGGGTAGGATAATTCTGTAATATGCAGCTATTAAATTTTTGGCTAGTCTAAGGGCACGAGCAGACATACACATCCCCTATATACATAGTTTACATCAATATGGTTAATATTTGATCAGTAGTACTGCTATTGTTACAACTGTCAGGCAGAAGCCAGGGTGAAGATGCACCTTATAGGTTAACTGAATGAAACATGCATAAGTTTTCATGAGCAAGAATTCATTTAATCACATGCTATGAAAGGGTGTGAAAACAGCAGGCTATCAAATAGAGTGATTTGAATACAAATGTCAGGGATTGTGAAAGGGAGGGAGGAGGACAGTAGTGTTAGTAACGTTTTTGTATTTTAATATAGATATTATCTATTTGATCATAAAATATCCCTTTTCACTTGTAGAACATACTGCTTGGACAGCACTACTAACAATTTTTTGAAAGTTGCATTGTTTGATGTCTTATTTTGGGGGGAAGAGTGCCACCTACTGAATAACTACTACAATTTCCATAAGCACTCTGATGGGTTTTTTTGATTGCTTACCAATAATCTGATTTAATATAGTTTAATTTGATGACATTTCTATGTTGGGAAAGCTTTTGAGGCATAGTTTTGTTTAATGTCAGAATTTTTGGAAAGCATGAATCTTTTAAGCTGTAGAATATTCTAATATTCATAATCAATTTCAATTAACTTCCTTTTGGCATTAGGGTGTTTCTTTATCCCCCGCATTGGGTACCTTCTGCTACATCTGTGTTTGCCTGAAAGCTATATTCAGCTCATCCCTGTGTTTCTAGATGTTTTTTGACATCTTTCCTCAGGTAATTGCATACAAAATAGGTCATAGGCTTTAATCATAAAGGAACAGTGGGCTCTATGCATCTTGCACTAAATATGGACAAAATTTGGGTATCTTCTAAATCAATAATGATTAAATGCTTAACCATTGAAAGAAATCTGTGAAAATAAACTAAAAACACTTCATTTTTTCACAATATTTCATTCAGAAACATTCTTTCTTTTATAACCCTACTAGTTGCCCCGGTAGATCCTAGTAGAAAAGTGGATGGTGATACCATTATTTTCTCTGATGTGCAAGAAAGATCAAGTGCTGTCTATCAGTGCAACGCTTCCAATGAATATGGCTACTTGCTGGCCAACGCATTTGTGAATGTTCTGGGTAAGAATCAGTCTTTCACACTACATGCTCTTTTCTCCTTTGTAATACTGCCACCCAAGTTAGAGTCCTCCAGCATTCCTGGATGCAGAATTCCCATCCCCACCCTCCTGTTCTGTGTGGACAAACTTTCTACCCCCTGAGCTCTACTGCCTAGGGGCAGTTCTGACACCAAGCCAACTCCCCTTCCCACCAGTGGTGGTGTGACCTTCCCACCCCCAGGATTGCATCCCTGTGCAAACAGCCTGTAGAGCACATACTAACTAGCCATGTTGCAGGGCATAGACATGTCCAGGAGTGGGGTTTAGAGAGTGTGGTGGGGGGAGGGGGGCGGAGGGAACAAGGTAGGACACTAGATTGGGTACCCATGAGCGGTGGCTTCTTTCCCAGGGTAGGGGTAGTAGCTCCCCCAAAAGCACCTTCCTTCACCACTCCCACTTCCCAACCACCCTGGGAAGCATGACCAGCACCCCCACATCCCAATCCTAAATCCCAATTTATTAAAACATGAGATCTTTAATTTACTTCCTTTTTATTTCTTTTTAAATTCCTTTTTACTTCTTTTTATTTTATCCTTCAGTGGGTTACTTCCTTCATTTTACCACCCTTCCCTCACTCCCATTTCCTTTCCACCACCCATTTCATTCCCCACACCTATCTAATTAACTTTCCACCTCCCAGCTTCATGTATCTGCACCCCCCTTCCTACCCCTCCAACCCCTCCATCTTTCACATACCCCACCTAAAGCAGGGATAGAAGCCTGCCTTGGCTCACCAGCCCTGTAGTAGCAACCCACAGCTGTACCTCCTAGTCCGGTTCCTACTCACAAGATCTTTAGTGGCAAGACACAGCTATGCAGGTGGAAGACAGAGAAGGTTTTTAGCCCTAAGGTGTGACTGCTCCAAACTTGAGCTAGCACTAACACCAGTCAATATTTGAGCAGCTCAAAGTGCAATTTCTAATAAGGTCGTAACTGTTCCTGAGCTCTATCCTATCCTCTCCATTGGAGCATCCATGGAAGCATCATGCCCCCCTTTTTTCATTATGCAAGTCAAACAAGAATAGCTATGTTGCATAAGTACGAGGAGGTGTAAGTTAAGTTTTATAATTTTGTGCCATTTCATTGAATTTTTGGTATTTAGTCACCGGGGGTCTAGCTCATCTATCCAAAAATTGGGTCCTAACAAATGTTCCTTCCCCCTGAAATGTTCACCTAGCATCAGGTAAGTGTTAGAAGTGAGGAGTTCACTCAGGTAAGACCTGTGACACTTTCAAGAACCTCTAAAATTGGTACAGCAGCTGCACTTACATGAGAATCTAGTTTTGCCTGTGGCTGGAATACTTCCCCCTAAGAAATTTTCTCCAGATGAGTAGCATGGGCTCTGATGTTTTTCTTGGAGTTGTACAAAGCTAATAGTAAAATCCCAGGCATAAGAAGTTCATCTTGTAGAGGCTTTCCATGCGTAACAAGCTGAATCAGTTACACTAGGCTGAGTATCAGGGTTCCTGATGAAAAAACCCTGCTTGATTCTAACAGGAACCACACAGGAAAAAAAGTACTTCACCTCAAAATTCTGCCCTGGTCCTGATCTTGCTGACTTATTTGCACCCAAAGGTTCCCAAGAAGGTTAGGGCTTCCTCAGAACCATGTAGTCAAATTCTCAATCGTCCTTCTTTTTTCTCCAAGTATTTTGTGACTTAATCCTCCAACCATTGCCACATGTTCTGTTGTTTGTTCACTGTAAAGGAGCGGGGGAGAGATTTTCCCCAAAGTAGAGCCTGTACTGGCAGCAGAAGATATTTAGAGCTAGGTAGAGCATTCATATCACCTCAGAGAAAAGATGTAAATATGTAATTCCACAGGCTGTTCTTGATTTCCTTAATCAAGCATGCCAGGCATTTTTTGTTGTCTTGTATTTTTAGCGGAGTCACCAAGAATCCTGACGCTTCCTAATACACTGTATCAAGTCATTGCAAACCATCCTGCATTGCTAGATTGCTCTTATTTTGGTTCACCTAAGCCTGAAATTAAATGGTAAGTTTTAGCCTTTGTGTGTAAAACACTTAAACACAGATTTTGTTACTATGAATTTTCACTTTGCAAAATAAAATAAGGCTCTCTTTATAACATAAATGGTTACACTATTCAACCTCTTATGACTACATTGTAATGTGTTTTTTAACTTAACACTTAAGTAAATACCTGTAGATTCCAATTTATGTTTCC